CTGGTTTTAAAATGTAATATCAGGCTACATTACATAATGTAATATGTAGCTAGCTACATAGGCTACATGCATAATCCTGTTGCCGTCCCATAAGCACCCTGAGAAACAGGTATTCTGCCCATTTTTTAGATGAGGAAACAGACCCTGTGAAGTGAAGTGATTTGTCCACCGCCACGCAGCTGGTAAGTGGCAGGGGTGGGATTCAAACTGAGGCCACGTTGTCTTTCTGGCCTGGAAGACAAATTCAGTAAGCACCCACCTTCCTCCCCATCATGATTCCCACCTCACAGATGAGGACCCAGGAGGCAGCCTGGGCCAGGGCAGCAGGGTGTGGGCAGAGAAAGTAAAGAAGTTGAGATTGTTGATTGGGATGTGGGAGTCTAGGGAAAAGGAGGAAGTTTGAATCTTGGCCACTGAGTAGAAGATGAAAATAGTAATAATTGTCACCAGTATTTATGAAGCCCTTACTATGTGCCAGAAACTCTTTCAGGCACACGTGATTTCCTCAGAGCTCAGAGAAGTTAAGACTTGCTTAAAGTCACAAAGCTGTAACAGGTGAAGGCAGATTCCAGACCCATGGTCATAGTGTTCTGCCTCCCAGTGAATAAGAGTGTGTGTGGGGGGGGGCAGGGAGGAAGAAGGAAAGGAGGACAATATGTTTTGTCTTTTTTTTTTTTTTTAGCATCACTGAATGTGATTAAATACCTTGAGGAGCAGTGCTGGTTTTTTTCGTTTAGAATTTATTGTTTTATTAAATAGTCATTGACTGCCTACTTACCCCAGACCCTGTGTATGGGTGCTATGGATAGAGAGATGAAGCAACCAATGAAAGACAAGTATCTAGAAGATATAAAGAGTTCCCACAGATCGAGAGCCAGGACCTGAATAGATACATGTACACCCATGTTCCTTGCAGCGCTATTCACACTAGCAAAGAGATGGAAACAACCCATCAGTGGAGGAATGGATAACCAAAAACACACAATGGAATACTATGCAACACTAAGGAATAATATAGAACCCACAAAGCACTGCATACCGTGGATGAACTTGGAGGATATTATGCTGAGTGAAATAAGTCAATCACAGAATGAGCAATGTTGTATTAGTCTATTGTAAAAAGTCAAGGAAGGGTTTATGTATGGAAGGGAGCCATCTTTGTTGATATATATATATATATATCAAACATTACTAGTGGTTACAGGGGTAGGAGGGAGGAGGAAAGGGGAAGCTTTTGTTCGCAGGGCATTGAGTTTATGCTAATGGGGTTGGAATACTTTGGAAAAGGATAGCAATCATGAATGTGTCATCAATGTCCCTAATGACACATGGATGTTGTTACGCTGGTGAATGTCTTGGTGTGTATGTTTTCACCAGAAGTAAAAAAAAAAAAAGTTTACACTTCCAGGGAGCATGGATAGAGCCCAGCCAGCCTGGGCAGCACTTCCGAGTGAGTTAGAATCTGTAAGAAAAAACAGACCATGCAGTTTAAAAAAAAAAAAAAAAACTGGGCAAAGGACTGAAGCAGGCAGTTCACAAAAGAGAAATCTAAACAGCTAATGAATAGCATAGTGCCTAAGGCACTTGACTGCTAACCAGAAGGCTGGTGGTTCAAACCCACCAGCCACTCCTCGGAAGGTTGGGCAATCTACTTCTGTAGTGATTGTTGTTGTTGTTGTTATGTGCCATCGAGTCGGCCCCGACTCATAGCAACCCCTCCTTGGGTTTCCGAGGCAGTATCACTACGGAAGTAGATTGCCCAACCTTCCTTTCGAGGAGTGGCTGGTGGATTTGAACCGCCAGCCTTCTGGTTAGCAGTCAAGCGCCTTAGGCACTATGCTACCAGAGCTCCGTAGTGATACCGCCTTGGAAATGCAAGGAGGGGTCTCTATGAGTCGGGTATGACTCCACGGCACATAACAACAACAAGAAATGAATGTATGAAAAGCTGCTGAGCCCCGTTGATTCTCAGGGAGGTGAAGGACAAAACCACAGCAAAACGTGAAGGGCCCTTGAGGAGCTAGCTCACTCACTGGCTACATGAAGCACCTGGTATGTGCCCAGTGCTCTGCTGGGAAGCGGGGGTGGGGAAAAAAACCTCAGAAGTGGGCTTGTGCTTTTCCAGGGGAAACAAGACCCTCTTGAAGGCAGGGCCCCTTTTGTCCTCCTACAGCTGGGCACAGGGACTGATGCACTAGTGAGTATTAGGATCATTTGTTCATCAACAAATACTTATTGCACACCTACTGTGAGCCAGGGACTATTCTTTGCAATAAGGATATAGAGATGACAGGCAAATAACAGGGCAGTCTTGTGGATATCAGAGGGAACAGACAGTGCAGAAGCCCTGCGGCCATGCTGGATTCTGGCAAGCCCAGTTGGCTGTACCGACCTTCATGCAGGAACAGCCAGGAGGCCCTTAGGCAAGAGCAGTGTGACCAGGGAGGAGAGAGGAAGGAGAGGCGGGAGGTGATGGAGCAGAGAGTGCAGGGCCTCACGCACCAAGGGCAAGATGTTGGCTTTTGCTCCGTGAGAGGTGGGAACCGTGGAGGGTTCTGGGCAGAGGAGGGGCATGTCTTGACTGATGTTTTACAGGATCACTCTGGCTGCTGTGTTGACAAGAGACTTTGGGGGGAGGGTGGAAGCCGGGGGGACCAGGAGGAGGCAACTGTACTAGTCTAAGTAAGCAATGGTGAGGGGTGAGAGAGGAGGTGTTGGGGGACGTGTCGATGCACAAATTAACAGACGGATGGGTGGATGCGTGACTGAGTCCAGGAGAGCCTCTGGAAGAGGTGGTCTGAAGGGAAGGCGCTGGAAGTCAGTCCCCTTTACAGAGAAGGGTATAATTTCATATAATTTGATTCTCCCCACGGCCCAGCAAGATGGGTGCAATATCTGCATTGGCAGACAGACAGCTGAGGCCCAGGGAGATCAAGTCA